CTTATCAGCGCTGAGTAGAGCAGAAGAATTACCTCTCAGGTCTTGCTTACAACACTCCTGCTAGTACATCCCAGAATGATGGTTGGGGTTTGGTTTTTTTTTTTTGGTTTTTTTTTTGTTTTGTTTTTTTGCAACGGTATTTCATTGTTGGCTTATATTTAGTTTGTGATCTGCTATATCCCCCAGATCCTTTTCTGCAGTACTCTTTCCTAAGTAGTCACTTCCCATTTTGTATTTGTGCAGTTGGTTATTCCTTCCTAAGTGTGGTGCTTTGCATTTGTCAGGGTTGATTTCATTCTGTTTAATTCAGACCATTTCTCCAGTTTGTCAAGATCATTCTGAATTCTAATCCTGTCCTCCAAAGCACTTGCAATCCTCCTAGCTCAGTATCACCCAAAAACGTTATAAGTGTACTCTGTATGCCATTATCACTTTGAGCATTACAGTAACACAGATTATTTTGATTCGATGGGGCCATGGAATTGGAGAAATGGCTTGGAAATGGCTTATCAGTAGAGAAGAAAAGCTTCCCATTGATATTTTAGCAAGAAGGAGAGTTCCTTGAAACTGCCTAATGTCACTCATTAGTGGAGGCAGTACCCATCTAGGGGCATATTCAGCATCAATTTTATTATTTATTTGCATTATTGTAGCACCTACGAGCCCCAGTGGTGCTAGGCACTATACAAACACAGGAGAGAAAGACTGTCTCTGTCCCCAAAGAACTTACAGACTCAAGAATCCAAGCCTGTCCGAGAGTTCCCAGACTCTTGAACGTGCTCCATCCACCATGATGGGCCAAAATAATCCAAATTAAGTGACCTTTCAGGCACGCTGCAAAAGATCTCTGCTTTGAGAGGGCTTCTGGAAAGGGCTGAGGATTTGCTATAACAATGAAGAGGCTCAAAGGAGTTTTTGTTGGTGGCTGGTTGACCTGAGTTCCTGTTGGAATGATTGTTTTAATGCTGCTGGTACTTAATTCTATTATCTAGTGAATGTCTTAGGGGACCTAGAGCCCTGGAGAGGAGTCTTGTATCATTTTAAATCTAAATAAAATCAGTAGGGAGATTAACATAAAGCTGATTTCTTTGCATTAACATAAATGGGTATTTGCCAGCTTTAAATCTGTCACAGCTCATAGTGCCAGATTTCAGTCCCCAGATTGTTTTCTGCACAGTGCAGACTCTTGAAAGTCAACGCTTGCTTGCTTACAGCTCTCCTGCTAAGGTGTCCTTGATCCCATAGTCCTCTTTCTAGCTAAAAGCAATGACCTCTACATCCCTGGGACAGTGATTTGAATTTTCCCTTGCCTTTAGAGATGCGGCCACCTCTCTCTTGGCACATAAAACCTCACGCAGCCAAGAAAGAACAAGAAAGCTAGAGATGACCTTATTCAGCTCTCTGAGCTAATAGCAGGTGTCCAGTTCCACTTCAGGATATTGACCGCCTGCGTCTGTGTAATTACACAAGCTAAAAAAAGGCTAAAATATCTGGAAAGCTAAGGTGAGTAGAAAGTGGTAGAATCTGGTGAATGATGCTCTCAAAGTGTACAGGTTCCTGTTTATCTTAAGTACTTATCAGGGCCCCATTTCCATAGTATGTGAGCACCTCACAATCTTTAATGTTTATCCTCATCATATCCCTGTGAGGCAGGACTGTAGACCTCTTTGTACAGATGGGAAAACAGAGGCACATAAATTAAGTGACATGCCCAAGGTTACAAAGGATGCCTATGGCAGAGCCTGGAATTGACTCTGAGTCTCCAGAGTCCTAGGTTAGTGTTCTAACCATTGAACCATCTTGCCAGTGCCAGAAATATACTCATATCTAAATGGTGTGTGTAAGTTTGACACTTACTCCCTTCTGGATTGAAGTAAAGCACATATCACATTCCTATGAATGCCCATCACTCCTAACCTGCAGATACACCTGTCTCTCTTAAAAGTCCAAATGAATCCTTGGTGCAAATAGACCCAACTCCTGGTGAAAGAATCATAGAATATCAGGGTTGGAAGGGACCTCAGGAGGTCATCTAGTCCAACCCCCTGCTCAAAGCAGGACCAATCCCCAATTAAATCATCCCAGCCAGGGCTTTGTCAAGCCTGACCTTAAAAACTTCTAAGGAAGGAGATTCTACCACCTCCCTAGGTAATGCATTCCAGTGTTTCACCACCCTCCTAGTGAAGAAGTTTTTCCTAATATCCAACCTAAACCTCCCCCACTGCAACTTAAGACCATTACTCCTTGTCCTGTCCTCTTCTACCACTGAGAATAGTCTAGAACCATCCTCTCTGGAACCACCTCTCAGGTAGTTGAAAGCAGCTATCAAATCCCCTCTCATTCTTCTCTTCTGCAGACTAAACAATCCCAGTTCCCTCAGCCTCTCCTCATAATTCATGTGTTCCAGACCCCTAATCATTTTTGTTGCCCTTCGCTGGACTCTCTCCAATTTATCCACATCCTTCTTGTAGTGTGGGGCCCAAAACTGGACACAGTACTCCAGATGAGGCCTCACCAATGTCGAATAGAGGGGAATGATCACGTCCCTTGATCTGCTCGCTGTGCCCCTACTTATACATCCCAAAATGCCATTGGCCTTCTTGGCAACAAGGGCACACTGCTGACTCATATCCAGCTTCTCGTCCACTGTCACCCCTAGGTCCTTTTCCGCAGAACTGCTGCCTAGCCATTCAGTCCCTAATCTGTAGCTGTCCATTGGGTTCTTCCGTCCTAAGTGCAGGACCCTGCACTTATCCTTATTGAACCTCATCAGATTTCTTTTGGCCCAATCCTCCAATTTCTCTAGGTCCCTCTGTATCCTATCCCTGCCCTCCAGCATATCAACCACTCCTCCCAGTTTAGTATCATCCGCAAATTTGCTGAAAGTGCAATCCACACCATCCTCCAGATCATTTATGAAGATATTGAACAAAACCGGCCCCAGGACCAACCCCTGGGGCACTCCACTTGACACCGGCTGCCAACTAGACATGGAGCCATTGATCACTACCCGTTGAGCCCGACAATCTAGCCAACTTTCTACCTACCGTATAGTGCAGTCATCCAGCCCGTACTTCTTTAACTTGCTGACAAGAATACTGTGGGAGACCGTGTCAAAAGCTTTGCTAAAGTCAAGAAACAATACATCCGCTGCTTTCCCTTCATCCACAGAACCAGTAATCTCATCACAGAAAGCGATTAGATTAGTCAGGCATGACCTTCCCTTGGTGAATCCATGCTGACTGTTCCTGATCACTTTCCTCTCATGTAAGTGCTTCAGGATTGATTCCTGTGCATTCAGGCTGAGGTTGAATTTCGTCCTACCGGTTGTGTAGGAATGAGTTCTGCTGAGACCTCCAAACTAATATAGCCAGCCTTATGTCCCATGGTAGGTAATGATCTGATGCAACTAATCGAACTACGACTACTTACCTATTTAACCAACCTGGAATTTAAGGTGTGTGTCAGCTAGCCTCCATACATGTAACTTTATTCCAGTCTCCATAGTGTCTTTCAATCCTCCCTCATCTTTGTTGTAGTGGGAAATAAATATCAGGATTCTGTAGTACATAATAAAACAGTGTGTGTATTATATAGTATTGTACATCTTCCGTAAATGGGTCTGAAAATATAAAGTCTTTCAGTTGCCTTGAGGCCAGCTTGAAATTAGTTTTGATCTTTATCCATGACTCTTAGATCTGGGGAAAACTGAGAGGGGATGTAACAATTTTCAAGTATGTAGAAGGTTGTTACAAGGAGAAGAAAGAAACATTTTTTCTTAACCTCTGAGGATAGGGCAAGAAGCAATGGGCTTAAATTGCAGCAAGGGTGGTTTAGGTTGGACATCAGGAAAAACTTTCTAACTGTCAAGGTGGTTAAGCACTGTAATAAATTGCCTAGGGAAGATGTGGAATCTCCATCATTGGAGATTTTTAGGAGCAGATTAGACAAACACCTGTCAGGGATGGTCTAGATAATTAGTCCTGCCACGAGCGCAGGGGACTGGACTAGATGACCTCTCGGGGTCCCTTCCAGTTCTATGATTCTATGATCAAGCAAAATAGTCTGCTTTGGAATTCTGTCATTAAATTAGGGAGTGGATCTTCAAACCTGGTGGTGAGATTCAAAAAAGTTTGGATAATGTTTTTTGTTTCCTTTTTTAATATTTACTGAAGCTGCTGTTTTAAGTACAGGACTGGACAAGAAATTGCTAAAATACTCCGAGATGGGCTGCTGTCATGGTCTGTCCAGCATGATCCGAAGCAGAAAATACTGGAAAATCTCATAAGAACAAGCTCGTGAGATTTCAGCCCAGCTTTGCAGACCCAAGAGATTTGGATAGTCCAGAGAAACAACCAAAATCTCCACATGTAGAATGTGTCCAAGATATTGGAACTAATATTCCACACTGGAGCTGACTGAATGTTTTGCAACAGAACATTTTCCCATTTGGAAAATGCCAATTAGTGAAAAGCGAAACATTCTGTGAGAACGTGTTGATTTTGTGTGGTTTTAAAAAAAAAAATCAAAACAAAGCACTTTGATAACATTTTGATTTTTTACTTTAAAACTACTTTTCATTTCAAAATGTATGTTATGTTCTAAATTACAATATCACTTTTCCAAAAGTCAAAGTTGAAACAAAATATTTCAATTGACCTGAAGCTCTTTTGTCCCCCCAAAATTTCATTTGGCTGGAAATTTCTAAATTCATGGTTTTGTTCTGATTGGGAATGAAAACACATTTGAAAATTAGTAGAATTTCCCAGGAAATGGAAGGCCCTGTTCCCCCAATGACTACCCCACACACACACACTGCCAGTGGATCACAACAATTCCAAGGGGTCATGGCTTCTCTCTTACATCTCAAATGAAATGATCTATTCACATTGTACCAAGAATAAATTCCATCTGCTAGGTTCTTTATCAGTGGCATGTTAGTGAGGTGATCATGAGTTTATAGTAATAGAGTTCATACATATTTCTTTGTTTTCCCCCAGGTTTGGAAAAGGCTATGGAATAGCCAAAGAACGTAAGACCCTGAAATGCACATAACTCTAACTTAGTGGGGACTTTGGAAACATCCCTGAAGATGAGGTTATTCCGGCGAAATTATGGCCCATTGAAGCTGGCTTTGGTGGGTGTGGTCTTTGTGATCTTCCTCTTCATAATACAGAAGGATGTTGGGAATGGGGACCACACCGAGGAGCCCTGGCTGAAAAACATTGTTGAGAAGAAAGACCAAGTAATTGACATGATGATGGGGGCAGTAAATAACATTCGCGACTCGATGCCAAAGCTACAGATCCGGGCTCCGGCTCAGCAAGAGGTGCCTTTGCAGAGCAGCAAGTCCTGCCTTCCAGGCTACTATACCCCAGCTGAACTGAAACCACTGATGGAACGACCGTCCCAAGACCCCAACAGCCCAGGAGCTGAGGGCAAAGCTTTTAAAAAGGACCAGTGGACACAGCAGGAGACCAAGGAGAAGGAGCGCGGCTATGAGAAACACTGCTTTAATGCCTTTGCCAGCGACCAGATCTCTCTCCAAAGGGCGTTGGGACCTGACAGCCGACCTCCAGAGTAAGAACTCCCCTTTCCTCCTCTTATGCCTGCTGTAAAAAGCAGCACAAAAATCTGTACCGCAGGAGAGATGGGATCTGTAAACCAAGTCTTGGACTAAGGCCACATCTACACACACAAGCTGCACCAATATAACTTAAATCTGCTTTTTAAACCCATGTAAACTTTAATTTGGGTTCATCATTAATCTGTTCCTAACTGATTTAAGTTAAACTAAAATAAGAATGGCCATGTGGCCCTTTGCACCTGCTTAACTAAATCGCTTTAAAGTAACACCTGAAAGTTGCACTGGTTTCAACTGATGGAGACCAGCTCTAGATCCAGTGGAGAGGGGAAGTCTTTCTGATGGCTATCCTCTCCAGAGCCTGATTCTTCGCTGCCTTGCATTTTATCATTTATGCACAATGAATGTGAAAAATGTTACACCCATTTCACCCAGGTGTAAATGATGACACGAGTGCAAGGCAAGAGAGAGTTAAAGTTTAGGTTTCTTTTTTCAAAGCAAGCCAGAGGAATTAACCTCACATCTTCCAATTTAAGAGCATGGAAGATGTGTGGACTGCATTAAAAAATCTCACCCCCATCTCTGCAGTCTGAGTGTTCTCTGCATTACAGCAGTGACACAATAGGGTTTTTTTAAGTTCTCTAAGCTTCAGAAAACTCACGCTTTATCTAGCATCTTTCCTTTCTTAGGCCATCGCTAGGGTTTTTACTGTAGCTATTACAGGGTCCGGGCAGCTAGTTTGAGTCTCATTGACATTTCATTTGCGTTTCAGTTTTGATTTTAGGTTTAGCCTGGCATTCCCTTCCTTCTTAGATAATCACAAACGCCACCAAAATGTTTTTCTGAAAAGGGGTTTTTTTATGTTCAACCAATGTATATAGAACTTGTGCCGTTCCTTTCACAGACAGCTGCATCTCTACCACTCATTTGAATGCTAAAGTTGCTACTGCAAGCCGTAAATATTGGCCAGGGTAGATGAGGTTCTGAACGGACACACGCCCTAACTCATGGCATTGCTTCAGAAAAGTTCTATTGTGCATGAGGTGAATTTAGTTACTGAAACAAACTCCCCTAGATGCAGAGTCATTGCAACTCCCAGATCTGCAGCTGAGTATCTCTGCTAAGTTCCACACTCTGAGACATCCAGCATCCTCCCATTGACCTGTGGCAGTTGTGCGCACACACACACTGGAGGGCAGAGTTCAGCCCGTAGGCACCAGTCCGGCTTGGTATATGTGGGTAGAGCCAGGTGTGTGAGAGATTTCCAGGGGCCTGTCTCGATTACAGAAGTTACACTTGTGCAACTAAATCAATTGTACCTGAATTTGAATGAATCGAAAGCGGTTTAATCTAGGTTTAAATCAGTTTAAGTGCTTCTATATAAGTGGCTTGCACTACTATATCTAGATTGGTCTTTTTTTCTTTTTTCCATTTGTTACCCCAGTGCAACTTTTGCAGCATAGACTAGGTCTATGCCCGACAAGGATTAAAGTCAGGGAGAACGCTGATTTAGCTAACTGCCTTATCTAGGACTGGCCAGTTACTGATATGAAATAGTCCCTATCCACATGATTGCTTGACTGAGTTTTATGGAGGGTTTTTTTTTATAACAAGACTCTGGGGTTTTTATTCGGTCTTTTAGTTGTTTCAGAGTAACAGCCGTGTTAGTCTGTATTCGCAAAAAGAAAAGGAGTACTTGTGGCACCTTAGAGACTAACCAATTTATTTGAGCATGAGCTTTCGTGAGCTACAGCTCACTTCATCAGATGCATACCGTGGAAACACGGTATGCATCTGATGAAGTGAGCTGTAGCTCACGAAAGCTCATGCTCAAATAAATTGGTTAGTCTCTAAGGTGCCACAAGTACTCCTTTTCTTTTAGTTGTGTATCGTACATTCATTTGCCTTTCCAGGCCTTGATCTTCCTCGGGTAGAATTCTAGTTCCTTGCCTTCCAGAATATAGCCGTCTGCTCGGCCACACTGTCCAGGTCTGGAGGCGAGGCAAGCAAGCACCTTTCCCTGCTGGAATTGCTCCTCCAGGCTTGCTGCTGATCTTGGCGTTGTTCTTCTGCTTGTCATATTTCTTCTGGATCATCTTTGAACACTTCTTGTTTAAGATTTCCTCCTCTTCAGGAGTCAGTTTAGCACCCTTCTTGCGTCCGAGGGGCAAGGCATAGTGGGCTTCATACCACTGTGGTATGGGGTACTGTCAATGAGAACGATGCAGTTCTTCACCAGGGTCTTTGTCTGCACCAGGTCATTGTTGGAACCATTGTAGACCACATCAATGATTCTGGTCTTATGGGTACAGCATTCAGAGCCCCAAGAGAAGTTGCCAACATCCAGGGAATACTGAGAGACTGTGGCCATAGTTTGACTACCAGCTCTGATTAGTAGACGCCATTGGGTCAAAGGGGGATCACAAGAAATCTCCCTACAGCAGACTTAAAGTGAAAGCCTAGGGCACTAATTCTTTCCTTCCACCCTCCTCTTCTGTCTCCTTCCTCCTGCTGCCCTTTGTTAAAAACCAGCCAACATAAGTCTCCCAGTGCAGATATAGACCTCCCATTAAAGAAAAGGAAGTCTGCCTACTTCAAAAACATTTAATTCCCTGTTCTCAGACTGCCCTTGGCTTTGATCGATTTTTCCCTTTATTCCTAGGAAGCCCTGCCCTAATTTTTCTTTCTTAGCTGAGTGGAACAGCCCCCTACCTTCCTGCTATGGCTAAAGGAGTCAAATGTGCCAGACTTGGCTTGACCTTCCTGTGGTCTCAAGCCAGGCACTCTGAGATTTCAGCCTGCCCCATTGCCGGGAGGTGGGTTAGGAAAGGCTTTATAGGGAGGGCATCCAAGAAAACAGCTTTGAATAGTGGTTCGAAGCCCAGACCCGGTTTGCAGACTGTGTTTCCCAGCAGGTAATTATCTTTGCCTAGCAGGTGTGGCAATGACAATGGAAGGTCGCTGAGTTCTGGAAGGGAAAAGCACAGGAACGGTATTCAGTCAACCGAAAAGGAATAAACCAATTTAAATGAATGTGAAAAGCACTCCAGAACCGAAACATAAATCGGCTAGCTAGAGAAATTGGCTCTGCTGCTCAGCTGGAAGGGGCCGTCATTGTTTGATTTCAAGGCCGACGCAGAGCCTGATCTGCCATGTGGAACGCTTCCCCTTTTGATGTGCAGCTGAAGTATGTAGGATGTAAGAGGGCTGTTCACACGCCCTCCAGAAAGTTCAGAACGGGGCTCGTATGCAGTTGAATCAAAAGAGGGGGTTGGGTTTTTGGTTTTTTGGGTTTTTTTTTTCCCACGCTAGGCCCAAAGTATTTCAAGACTTGTTTTGGTGCCATCCTTAAGAGCAGCCTATCCCAAATGTCATGGATATTGAACTGGCTGTAGCTAGGAGCTAACTATTTTCTTATTCTAAAAAGAGTACAATTCTATTTACATATTCTCATATGTATACTATTTCCATATGCATTGTATTGACTGAACAGTGAAAGATTTTCAGATGTATAGTATCTTTGGGATACCTGAAGTGGTACCTTAAAGGGACCAGATTCTTCCCACCCCCCTTCAAACAATGTTGAGCACTTGCTATCAGAAAATCAGGCCACTTTAAAAGGTTTTCTCTTAGGCACCCGAAAGCACTAGACATGTGGCAGGAGGGGTGGTGAGGGCACTAGCCTAGGACTCAGGAGAGCTGGGTTCTAGTCCCTGCTTTGTCAGAGACTTCCTCTGTGACCTTGGGCAAGTCACTTAGTATGTCTGTACCTCAGTTCCAATCTGTACAGTGGAGTGTTGGCAGGCTAAACAGACTAAAAGACAGAGGTGCTCCAATGCTAAAGTAACAGAGGGCATGGAGGATGGGCACTTTGGCAAAGCTTAAACCTTGGAGGTTGCAGCCTGGCTGTCTAACTGCTTTAGGAACCTGGTGTAAACACATGAACACACTTCACAGTGATTGTTAAGGGGGTTTGTAAACCTTTCCCACTGGAGGAGCGGGGTTGGAAACAGGATATAGAGCCAAGCCCACGTTGAGAGCAGATACAAATGAAATGGGATGGCTATAAGACGGCCTACAGGAAGGGAAGGAGTCTCTGTCTGTTTGGCAAAAACCGCCACCATGTTTGTCACTGAACCTTCCCCTCTGGTTGGTTGTGTTGGAGAAGCTGTGAATTGAGTGAACCACTGAAAAATGAGGTCCCCTATCAGTCCGGAGTGATTCTTCAGTGCAAGCTTCTCCTCCCACTGCACCTGTTACACACACACACACGTTTTCAGAGCTCAGCTCCCGTTGTGGCTACTTAGTGGCCTTGCACATTAATGAGAAAAGATGCCCTTCTATTAATTACTTGCATTGCAGTCATTCCTGGGAGCCCCACTCATGGTTTCTGTCCCCAAAAGCTTGGCAATCTAAGTATAAGGCGTGATGAGGGCTGGATATTGTCTCTGAACATTGGGGATTAAACATCTCGGTAAAGAAATATCAGGAGATGTTCAACTTGCCACTGGGGAGCATCACCCATGTTGGATTATGCATTGCAAATATGCATGTGAAGATGTCCTGACTGGGTCCGCTGCCGGGAGTGAGTGCGGGAATAGAATTGGTTGGGAATCTCTTTGACTAAACGATTTTTCGTCAGAAAATGCCAATGCATCGACACCCCTTTTTTTTTTGCAGAAATGCATCCATCTTGATGACCCTTTGGTTAGGGCACCCAGCTAGGATTTGGGAGACCTAGCTTCAAATCCCTGCTCTGAATCAGGGACTTGGGCCTGCGGGAACATGGATCCCTGCTTTGCCTGGTTTAGTATAGTGATATGAACCTGGTTGTCCCATATCCCAGGGGAGCGCTAACCACTGGGCTGTCCTGAGGCAGGTCTCATCTTTTGAGAAACTTCGCAAAAGGTCTCTGTTTTCTCCGGTTGTAGAAGGAGAACTTTTTTGAACTCTTGAATCTTTGCAGGACAGGAAAACCTGCCCAGCTCTGTCTGGGTCCTCTGAATCTAACCACACAGGCTGCTTGAGCTAAAAGATCAGGCCTGCGAGCTTGTAGACAGTAGCAGACCCATAAAGCTATGAGGTCCAGGCTCTGGAGAGCGACTAAGCCAAGAGCAGCCAGGGCATTACAAATGCACTCACTAACTAGGCTCAATTTCTCTCGTAGGTGCATTGATCAGAAGTTCAAACGCTGCCCGCTGTTGCCCACCACCAGTGTCATCATCGTGTTTCATAACGAGGCCTGGTCCACCTTGCTCCGCACTGTGTACAGCGTCCTGCACTCCTCCCCTGCCATCTTACTAAAGGAGATCATTTTGGTGGACGACGCCAGCACAGATGGTGAGTTAGGGCCTTGGAACTAGTTGAGGGAAGCAGAGTCTGAAATGGGAAGAGTCTCTGGGGGTCTCCTGCTCCCTCAACCCAATACCATTGTAATTTAGGTACCTCATCACCATATCTCATGGACATTAAAGGATTTAACCCTTGCAGTAGCCCTCTGAGAGATGGCACTGGGGCGCAGAATAGATTAAGTGACTTGCCCAAGGTCACGCGCACAATCTGTGTCTGAGCCCAGTATTGAAACCAGGTCTCTGGAGTCTCAGTGCAGTGCTCTGTCTATGAAGCCTCTTTCCTGAGCACTGGCCTGCTAAACCCAGGGTTGTAAGTTCAATCCTTGAGGGGGCCATTTAGGGATCGGGGGCAAAAATTGGGGATTGGTCCTGCTTTGAGCAGGGGGTTGGACCAGATGACCTCCTGAGGTCCCTTCCAATCCTGATATTCTATGATTCTACACAGCAATCTCTTAGATTCCTGGCTGCTAAAAGGCCCCTTCCCTCCCACTGGAAGGCTGGGGCCTGGTTTCTCAGTTACTTTTCCTGCATGTGGAGCAGGGCTTAAATAGGATTGGCATGGGGGAAAACTCCCTTTATTCCAGGACTGTGCAGGAGCCAACCCAGTTCCTGGTGTAAGCTAGAGCAGCCCTGGGAAGTAGAGCATATAGAATAGCCATGGTGCATGCACTGTACATGTGCCCCTATACTGGGGCTGGCAGCAGCATTGGTGTAGAGCTCTTATTAGCTCTATTGGCTAGAGAAGCTGCCTGTACAAAGGACGCTCTTAGCGGGGCTGTTTTGCACCCGCTTAAAAGCCATAGCTGCCCAAAAAGGGATTTACTTTGTGGGCCTGATTCCAAGTTACATTAAGAGCTCTAATCTCTGATGCTGGCCTCTAGTTAGTCTCAAGTGGCTTCTCTTTCAGCTTCTGTGATGCACAGCTGGGTGTGAAAATGAGACAAGTCCACCTGCAGTAGGGTACTCAAGGAAACGTAACCATACAGCACCGTCTATTGCACCAAACTCAAGTGAAACTGGTCATTAAAGAGCCAAAGAGAGCTCTGTCCCTAAAAGCCTTCCAGCACAATTGCAAATAATTCCCATTAAACTACAAGGACGTTCCCTCGGGGCGGTGAGGCTGGAATTTTTGATTGGCCAGCAAAAAGGGGGGGAAAAAACCTCCGTGCATGCAGCTGACGGTATTAAAGAAATGGTGAGAGATGACTCCAATAATAGTGAGCTAATTTCCACCCAGCAGCAGCAAAATTGTTCCCAAGGTGCCAGCTTTTTTCCAAGCTGGGCTGCAAAGAGTTGATTCCCAGACAAGACCCAGCCCACCAGAGGGGACTCGGCTAAAACAAGAGTGCAGGAGTTCCTAGTGGTTCAGCCAGGGAAAGCTTCCAATAAGGCTACCCCAGAAGAGCTGCTTCCCACTGTCCCTGGGGGTCCTGTTCTGCTTGTTACTGCAACATGCATACACAGCAAGCCTCATTAAGGCATGCATCCCTGAGGGGGCAGGAAGGGAGAGGGGGCAGGCCTCCCGATTGTTCTCCAGTCTCGGCCCTTTAATTTTTTTTCTGTAGCTGTTTTCAGGGCTTTATTACAACCTAACTTGACCCATCTGTAACAGACACAGTAGCATCTGCCTGAGATTGCAGAGAGCCTGAAACAATAACTCAGATGTGTGAACTGCCCCATTTGCTTCAGCAGGTGCGGACTTGGGTGATACTTGAAATATCAATGCTGTTAAGTGTTTTGCTGCTCGTCAAAGCGTGAAAGGAGAGGAAGTATTCTATTCGGAAGAGCTACAGAATCTATTCTGTCTGTCTATTTTGGGCCTTTAACAAGAAGTGCCAGATTTTGAAGGGGGTTAGTTCCACTTTCCTCAAAGGAAGCTTAGTTCCCAAATGTCTGTGGAATGCTGGGTTAATTATGGATGGCATATATTCCACTGATGAAGTCTGCTCAGCAATTGGCAAATGAGCTAGGCTATGTAACGCTCCGTGGAAAGGAGACTTGCAAACTTCATTTTTCTTTTGGGCAGGTGAAATGAGTCACAGGTTCCTACCTATGATTGTGGAGGTGCGGGCTAGGGAGTGAAGGTCCTATTTTTGGCCTAGAAATCCTGACCAGGCCTTATTTTAGGTTAAATGCCGCTTTCAATTTCCACATGCAGGGGAGGTGCAATTCCAAAGAGTTGGTAACATTCAGATGATCCCCTTTGTATATGTGGCGAATTCCTTGATTCTTCCCCTTGGTTGCACTGAATTCTGGGTTTGTTTGTTTGTTTGTTTTGTTTTTTGTTTTGTTTTGTTTTTTAAATCTGGTCTCTGCACATACCTGTCTGCAAGTAACAACCTGGGAACCCCTCCCACATCCTGTAAACAGAACACATTATGCTTTCCATCCTTGGCAATTACTCACTTGCAAGGCAAGCTGCCATTTAGTGATCTAAAGTAGTTGCAACCAAGGCAAACTAATCACATGGTTCAGCATCAGATCTGCCTGCAGCTTAGATCTCAGAGAAGATCAAGCTTTGACCAAGTGGTGGGGGTGAGGATAAACAAATATCTTCAGTTTGCTGCATGTGAATGGGCAGCCACAGAGACCTCCACACAGTGCAAAGCCAGTGTGGAAGCGAGGGTTGCCACCTTTCTAATTGCTAGTAACTGGATCCCTGAGGCCCTGCCCCTTGCTCCGCCTCTTCTAAGCCCTGGTCTACACTAGGACTTTAGGTCGAATTTAGCAGCGTTAAATCGATGTAAACCTGCACCGGTCCACACAATGAAGCCCTTTATTTCGACTTAAAGGGCTCTTAAAATCAATTTCCTTACTCCACCCCGACAAGTGGATTAGCGCTTAAATCGACGTTGCCGGCTCGAATTTGGGGTACTGTGGACACAATTCGATGGTATTGGCCTCCGGGAGCTATCCCAGAGTGCTCCATTATGACCGCTCTGGACAGCACTCTCAAATCAGATGCACTGGCCAGGTAGACAGGAAAAGAACCGCGAACTTTTGAATCTCATTTCCTGTTTGGCCAGCGTGGCAAGCTGCAGGTGACCATGCAGAGCTCATCAGCACAGGTGACCATGATGGAGTCCCAGAATCGCAAAAGAGCTCCAGCATGGACCGAACGGGAGGTACGGGATCTGATCGCTGTTTGGGGAGAGGAATCCGTGCTATCAGAACTCCGTTCCAGTTTTCGAAATGCCAAAACCTTTGTCAAAATCTCCCAGGGCATGAAGGACAGAGGCCATAACAGGGACCCGAAGCAGTGCCGCGTGAAACTGAAGGAGCTGAGGCAAGCCTACCAGAAAACCAGAGAGGCGAACAGCCGCTCTGGGTCAGAGCCCCAAACATGCCGCTTCTATGATGAGCTGCATGCCATTTTAGGGGGTTCAGCCACCACTACCCCAGCCATGTTGTTTGACTCCTTCAATGGAGATGGAGGCAATACGGAAGCAGGTTTTGGGGACGAAGAAGATGGTGATGAGGAGGAGGAGGTTGTAGATAGCTCACAGCAAGCAAGCGGAGAAACCGGTTTTCCCGACAGCCAGGAACTGTTTCTCACCCTAGACCTGGAGCCAGTACCCCCCGAACCCACCCAAGGCTGCCTCCTGGACCCAGCAGGCGGAGAAGGGACCTCTGGTGAGTGTACCTTTTAAAATACTATACATGGTTTAAAAGCAAGCATGTGAAAGGATTACTTTGCCCTGGCATTTGCGGTTCTCCTAGATGTACTCCTAAAGCCTTTGCAAAAGGTTTCTGGGGAGGGCAGCCTTATTGCGTCCTTCATGGTAGGACACTTTACCACTCCAGGCCAGTAACACGTACTCGGGAATCATTGTAGAACAAAGCATTGCAGTGTATGTTTGCTGGCATTCAAACAACATCCGTTCTTTATCTCTCTGTGTTATCCTCAGGAGAGTGAGATATAATTCATGGTCACCTGGTTGAAATAGAGTGCTTTTCTTCAGGGGACACTCAGAGGAGCCCATTCCTGCTGGGCTGTTTGCCTGTGGCTAAACAGAAATGTTCCCCGCTGTTAGCCACAGGGAGCGGGGAAGGTTGAGGGGGTAGTCACGCGGTGGGAGGAGGCAAAATGCGACCTTGTAACGAAAGCACATGTGCTATGTATGTAATGTGAACAGCAAGGTTTACCCTGAAAGAGTGTAGCCACTGTTTTATAAAATGTCTTTTTAAATACCGCTGTCCCTTTTTTTTTCTCCACCAGCTGCATGTGTTTCAATGATCACAGGATCTTCTCCTTCCCAGAGGCTAGTGAAGCTTAGAAAGAAAAAAAAAAACGCACTCGCGATGAAATGTTCTCCGAGCTCATGCTGTCCTCCCACACTGACAGAGCACAGACGAATGCGTGGAGGCAAATAATGTCAGAGTGCAGGAAAGCACAAAATGACCGGGAGGAGAGGTGGCAGGCTGAAGAGAGTAAGTGGCGGGCTGAAGACAGGGCTGAAGCTCAAATGTGGCGGCAGCGTGATGAGAGGAGGCAGGATTCAATGCTGAGGCTGCTGCAGGACCAAACCAGTATGCTCCAGTGTATGGTTGAGCTGCAGCAAAGGCAGCTGGAGCACAGACTGCCACTGCAGCCCCTCTGTAACCAACCGCCCTCCTCCCCAAGTTCCATAGCCTCCACACCCAGACGCCCAAGAACGCGGTGGGGGGGCCTCCGGCCAACCAGCCACTCCACCACAGAGGATTGCCCAAAAAAAAGAAGGCTGTCATTCAATAAATTTTAAAGTTGTAAACTTTTAAAGTGCTGTGCTTAAAGTGCTGTGTGGCATTTTCCTTCCCTCCTCCACCACCCCTCCTGGGCTACCTTGGTAGTCATCCCCCTATTTGTGTGATGAATGAATAAAGAATGCATGAATGTGAAGCAACAATACTTTATTGCCTCTGCAAGCGGTGATTGAAGGGAGGAGGGGCGGGTGGTTAGCTTATAGGGAAGTAGAGTGAACCAAGGGGCGGGGGGTTTCATCAAGGAGA